CATCACACAAGAAGACTCCTTTATCTTTTCGTTCTGTTGAGAATAAGGGCAAGAATGAGACTTGCGATTCCTGTGTACGAGCTAAACAGACTCGGTTGCCGTTTCCTAAGAGTTCTATAAAGACTAGTCGATGTTTTGAGCTTATTCATGTGGATATCTGGGGTGGTTTCAAGGTTCCTACACAGAATGTTGCTCGTTATTTTCTCACAGTCATTGATGATTTCAGTAGAGATACCTGGATTTATTTGATGAATTATAAGTCCGAGGTTGAGAACTATTTGAAAATGTTTATAAACATGGCTGCGACACAGTTTGGGCAGCAGGTTGCTCGCATTCGAGCAGACAACGGGCTGGAGTTCCAAACGACCAGCTTGCGTAGTTTCTATGATGATCATGGCATTATCCTGAAGACATCATGTACCGACACACCTCAAAAAAATGGTGTTGTCGAGCGTAAGCACCGCCATTTACTGGAAACAGCTCGAGCTTTGCGTTTTCGAGCCAATCTTCCTCTACAGTTCTGGGGCGAGTGCGTACTTACTGCTACATATCTCATCAATCGACTTCCAACCAAGGTACTTCAAGATCATACTCCCTATGAGGTGTTACTTGGTCGGCAGCCTTCATACGATCATCTTCGCGTCTTCGGATGTTTGGCTTACGACAAGGACACTCACAAAGGGCTCTCCAAGTTCGGTGAACGGGGCAGGCGCTCTGTTTTCGTTGGGTATCCCGCGTCACAAAAGGGATACCGTCTATTTGACCTTGTGAATCGGACGTTCTACACGTCCCGGGATGTCCATTTTGTGGAGGGAAGTTTCCCTTATCATACGCCAGCACCATCATCCCCACCTCCCATGCCTTCAGCTTCCGCACCCGAGGTTGACGATGATGAGTTGGTGGCCAATAATGAAAATCATGGCCCAAGTATTGTGCCTATTGTGCAACAGTCAACTCCTTCCTCCCCTGCCGACTTGGACGAGCCTGCCTCTTCCTCCTCGTCACATGTTGAATGCCCTTCGCCTGGAGATCCAGTCGAGCAGCATGTACATGAAGTTCGTCGAAGTCTCCGGGCGCGCCAAGTTCCTCGTCGCCTCGACAATTATGACGTTGAGCTGCCGCCCTCTAAAATTCCCTATCCGATGTCGAATTATGTGAGTTACACAGGTTTCTCCCCCCGACACCGTAGTTTCTTGGCCGCGGTTTCTAGTCAGTCTGAACCCTCGAGTTATCGGGAAGCTGTTCGTTATGAAGCATGGCAGGTCGCCATGCAACGTGAAATTGATGCTTTAGTTGGCAACGGTACGTGGACTCTTGTTAGTTTACCCCCTGGCAAGCGTGTTGTTGCTTCAAAATGGGTATACAAAATTAAGTACACACCGGATGGGAATATCGGGCGCTATAAGGCTCGCTTGGTGGCGAAGGGGTTTACTCAGACCGAAGGGATCGACTACCAGGATACGTTCGCACCGGTGGCTAAGTTAGTTAGTGTTCGGTGTTTACTTGCTGTGGTTGCAGCCCGTGGATAATGCATTTTTGCATGGGGATCTTCAGGAGGAGGTTTATATGCAGATACCTCCTGGTTTTGCCGCTCCTGGTGGCACGCGAGTATGCCGACTTCATAAATCCATCTATGGTCTGAAGCAGGCATCACGGAATTGGTATGCCAAGTTCACTACTACCCTTACTGGTCTTGGTTTTCAGCGCTCTAACGCTGATTACTCCCTCTTTGTTCGCCGGAGTCACGGTACCTACGTTGTGGCTCTAATTTACGTCGATGATGTGATTCTAGCGGGTGATGATTCAGTTTTCATTCAGCAAGTTAAAGACACTTTACATCGGCAGTTTGGCATCAAGAACTTGGGTCCTCTCAAGTATTTTTTGGGCATCGAGGTTGCCCGGTCTCGCGCAGGCATTGCCCTAAGTCAGCGCAAATATACGTTGGATCTCCTCCGTGACAGTGGCTTCTCCGGCAGTCGCCCTAGTGTTTTTCCCATCGAGCAACATCATTCTCTTACTCGCTCTGATGAGAGTTCAGTTCGTGTTTCAGTTGAGGATGCTGCAGCCTATCGTCGTTTGGTTGGGCGCCTCCAGTATCTCACGGTCACGTGCCCCGATATCGTCTATGCTGTCAACATTCTCAGTCGTTATGTGCATGCTCCCACTGCAGCTCACGTTGCTGGTGCTGAGAGGGTTCTTCGGTACCTCAAACGTGCTCCTGGGCAGGGAATTCTACTTCCCTCGAGTAGTTCACTTCAGTTCACCGCTTATTGCGATGCAGACTGGGGTGGTTGTCAATCCACTCGCCGTTCTACGTCTGGTTATTTTGTTACTCTTGGTGGCGCTCCTATCTCCTGGCGCACCAAGAAGCAGTCTGTAGTTGCTCGGTCATCAGCTGAAGCCGAGTACCGAGCTATGGCAAGTACTGTCAGTGAAGTCATTTTGCTTCGTGCTCTTCTTCGAGATCTTGGTGTTCGTCCCACGTCTCTCACAGTTCTTTATTGTGATAATCAGGCGGCGCTCCACATCGCTGCTAACCCGGTTTTTCATGAGCGCACCAAGCACGTTGAGATGGATTGTTATTTCGTTCGGGATCATGTTGCCTCCCGCGAAATTATGCCTCGGAAGATCTCCTCCCAGGCACAGTTGGACGATTTGTTCACCAAAGGGCTTGCTGGTGATCGTTTTCATGCACTTCTCTCCAAGCTGGGCATTTGTAACCTGCATGCCTCAGCTTGTGGGGGAGTGTAAGGAGTGTTCAGTACGTAGTCGTGTTGGCCGAAGGACATATGTGTTTTTTGGTCTTCGGCTGGAGCTTATGCCTAACCCTAGAGGATTAGTCGAATAGGGTTATATATATATGTATCTTGTAATCGGCTGCGTACTATGAATATAAGCTGAGATAGCATAACTTCTCCGTGTAGTAAGCTCATTCACATCGAATGAGAAGAACCACGTAAACCCGTGTCTCGTGTTCGTTTCATTTTACGTTGTTAGATTATTTCAGCTATGCGCGACCTCCTGCTCATGAACGTTCCGAATCAACGTTTGACAATCCCCACAGGAGTTTGCCACAAAACAAAACCAATGTGTTAGGCACCAATTGATTGCATCGCGTAAAGCCAACAATTCCATAATGAAAGGGTCAACGATATCTGGGTAATGTTTGCCGAAGGCAAATAACAAAGCCCCACATTCTGAAAAGCCGGCGAACCCGACTGCGCCTCCTGATCCCTGCCGCCATGCCCCGTCAACTCGGACAAGGATTCCTTCCGCGGGACAAGTGCCATCTTGCTGAGATCGAGAGCTCATTCCTGAGTTGGGTTCTTGACCATTCTGAAGGCGAGGTCCTCTGTGTACTGTGAGTGGTGTAGTTGCCGCGTGCCATTCGTCCACTTGAGCGCGCATCTGCCGCAATAGAGCTGGTCCCCTATATTGTATGCGCTTATGGATCGCCCAACAACGCGATTTCCAAACTCGCCAGCGTAGAAAAATGACAGTACCAACCTCGGTCGTAGAAAGATGACAATCAAAGAACAGTGTACTCCAACAATCTGCATGGGGAAGAGACGCTAACCTTGTCCGAAGAAGGCCTAAGCTAGCTAGGTCCCACAACTCGACGACAACCCGACAGTGAAGGAAGGAGTGCAAAATGCTCTCACTGTCGTTGCTATAGATGGGACAAGTGTTGTCGTCCACCAACCGCTTGTAGTGTAGAACTGCTCGCACCGGTAAGAAGCCTCGCACCACCCTCCAACAGAAGAATTTGAGCTTTGGTGGTAATGGCAAATGCCAAAGATATTTCTAGAACCGTCGGTCGTACGGTAGGCCTCGTGGGGGATGAGTTCTGTTGAGCTCTAAGGACAAAAGTTGGTAACCTGTTTTGACTGTATACTCCTAGGAAGTCGAGTAATGTCACACCAATTTATCCGGAATAAGCTGGGTACGCAATGGTATTGATGGGATAGAACCGCTGCACTAATATCCTTGCCAATGATTCCCCAATGGGTTTGGAAGAATCATGCAGAGAAGCCATTGGATCCTGGAGCTTGGTAGCCCCCGATGCTAAACACCGCTCGTCGAATTTCGTCATTGGAGATCGGGACCGTCAGATACGTATTCATGGTTGCAGTCACTTCCCGGGGCAACCTGAGACCTTGCACAAATTGGGTAGGATCTATATGATTAGAAGTAAACATCAACTGAAAATATGGTACTGCAATACCTGCCATCGCATCCATCGTGTGATGAAGAACACCAGCATCATCACGTAGCCCTTCAATCTGATTATTCCGCCGACGTTGAAGAGTGGCTAGGTGGAACAACCGAGTGTTTGAGTCCCCTTCTTGAAGCCAACCAACTCTAGACTTTTGTTTCCAAAAAACTTCTTCTTGTTTGTAAGCCTCTGTCAACTATAGTTCCAGCTCTTTAATTTGTTCCCAATCTACCATGTCGGCCTCCTTAGCAGTTTCGATAGCATGGAGGCACTCTGGGATAGCACGGGCATAATTTAATGTACCCAGTCGGGCCCACTCTACCAATTCATGACGGACGAACTTGAGATGAGTGAAAGATCAAAATTACATATTACCATGTGTAACTTTACCCCAAGCCTGCTTGATGATATCTTACGCCTCGTGATTTGTATCTCATCTCCCATCATAGTGGAACTGAGTTCTTGTTGGTTGATTATGTGCCGTGAGCTGTAACAATAAAATTCGGTGGTCAGAACCTAGATTAGTAAGATGAATTACTTTTAGCTCCGGTCACGAGGATAGCACAAGATCACTGCCTAAACACCGATCCAATCGCTCCATGATGTGCGCCGATATGAAGGGGGATCCATGATATCCCATATCAACTAACCCAGTTGTATTCACAAATGAATTTAATTGATCCAAGGATACCACAGTGGGAAGATTACCACCACGTTTTTCAGAAAGGGCAAGGAGACAGTTAAAATCACCCAGAACAAATATTGGAAGAGAGAAAGACGAGACCTAAGAGAGAAATTTCATTAAGTTGCCCCTGCCTAGTGAGAGTATCGCAAGACAAATGCACAAACATAAGAACAAAGGACCCTACACCTACAACTTTACATTTAAGGACACAAAGGAAATTAGAAAGGAAGTGAACTGTACAGGTCGTGCTAGATGATCAAGCAACAGCTGAAGACCCTCTCCCTCTAACAGAATCATGACACCTACAATTATGAAAACCCAAGCTTGCAAACTTCACTCGCACAAACTCCTCATCACGTCTAGTTTCGGTGAGGAAGACAACATGGGGTCTAAACGGACCCGTGACTCCACCTAGAGTCGGAATTGTCAAGGAGGAGCCGATACCTATACAATTTCACGCTAGAACACTCATGGATTCACGTGGGACTAGTCGGGGCTGGTTTCCTCCACCCTTGAAGTAGTGTCTATTATGTTGCTGTCCCGCTTGATGTGTTTTGCTATTGGGGAGGTCGACTGACCACCATATGCATCGATCATGTGCGCCTCCAGCATAGGATTCTTCAACAACTCCCGTGGCTGAGATTCAGTAGCAAGAGTTGGTCATGCAGTTAGAGCGAGTAGCTGCATCCTTTCCCCCCATGCGGCCATGCGTTGGCCGACGCGTATCCTCCCAGACAGAGTCTCCATGAGCACCCACCGCCCTAGTCCTCCCCATGCCACTTGCTGGAGGACGCGTCAACTTGAATCCACTAGGGTGCGAAGAGGAGGGTCTTTGCGACACCGCCCGCAGCCAGTTAAACTTATTCTTTCTCCGAGCCATCATTTTCTCCATAATCGGCGGTCCCGTTTCCTTTGAGATAGTGAACGTCCCATAGCGAGGCGGGACTCCTTCTAGTTCAGCCTTGCGAGGACAGTTTGCGCCAATATGCCCTATAATTCCATAGAGGAAACATAACACAGGAAGTCGCTCAAACTTAATCTTGGATACAATTAAGTTACCTTTCGATGGAACAACATGATCAACGGCAATCTCATCAGAAAGCTCTGCGGTCAGATCGAACACCGGTTCATCCCTAAAGTACAGCCCTCCTGAAATATCCGAACGGTGTAGGGTCGGTGTAGTGGTCTCACCTAGAGCAGACCCAAGGCGATGGGAAAGTTTGGTTGTGAAGCACTCAAAAGGAACACCCCAAATCTGAACCTCGAGCGGTGCCAGAGTAGCGAAGCCGCCATCGCCGAAGACGGAGAGGCCCACGAGCGCACCACCAGCATGAACTTGGGGAAAATCCATGGTGAGCCCTTTTCCACCTTCTGCATGTCAGCCGTCGAGGAAAAGAGAATACGGGCCAGCCCAACATCCACATTCGAGATCATAAAGCCCTCGTCCGGCCACCAAACCCGAGTCAGAGTTGTCTTGACCGTGTGCAACGCCGGCGGCAGCCCAACCAGACGGCCAATCAGTGAGCGCTCCTCCCGAATTACGCCAGCAGCGATGTCTTCGTCATTAAATTGCACGGCAACTGCCATCGGAATGCTATGATCAGCCACAATAATTGTTTCCCAAAACAGAGAAGAGGATGAAATTGATGTCAGAGCAACCCTCATCTAGTAGATCCGGGTGATTTAAAGGCCATCCTCGCCAACTGAACCCAGTCCCGGCGATGCATGTCGGCCAATGGCCTGGAATGGCCGCTGCACACGAAGGCGGATTCCCCTTTCCTTGGTACGGTGAACGCACGATAGGAGAGAGGGGAGAGAATTCCCTCCCTTTTTTTTTTGTTGCTCGGAGAATCCTCAATTCAATCACGGTAGATTAATAATTGTTACGAACCATTGCAGTGTCATGTTTAGTTACTAGAAATATTTAATTTCAATATTGGTCACTCAAATTAATAAAATGGTTCACATTTGGTCCCTCTCCATTAATATTCGTCTAACTCCGTTACTGGAGTCTGCTATGTGCTAACATGACAAACAGAATCGCCTAGTTAATGCAATTTTAACCCAAAAATGGTAAAACTTGACCAGCCATGTCACTCAATCTGTCATGTCATCTTGCTCAACCCAATCCAACCCTTAATTCTTAAACCCAACCCAACCCAACCCCCTCTTCTCTTTTTTCAATTGCTAACCCTCTTCTTCTCTGACTTTTCTTTATTCTTTATTCTAACCCTTCTTCCCTGCTCTTCCCCACCGCTTCCTCTCCCGCACTCCTTCCTCCGTAGTTTTCATCCTCCCCTAATGTCCCCATAGTTTTGGTCTCTATTAGGGTGGTTGTTTTGTTGAATTTTTAGATTTTAGTTGGAATTAAATCTATTCATGAGTTTATTGGTGTTTCGGTTAAAATCGTAAATTGATAACTTGATCAAAATCTATAAGACTTTAATACAATTAAAAAATCGTTTATGGCTATCCAAAAATCGATAAGAACTTCCCGATTTTAGTTTTGGTTTTAGACAAATAGCTTATTCAAATTTCAATGCCTCCCATAAAATAAAACAAAAAAATCAATGCCAACTAACTTTTCGGTTTTGTTAACCGAACCGAAGCATATGTACCACTTGAAACACTTTTTGTTTTTTCCCCTAATGTGGTCGGTTTCTCTTTTCCTTTCCCCAACCCAGGCACTTTCCTGACTAGGGTTCTTTCTTCTCTTTAGCAAACTGGATTTTAGTAAATAAGAACAACATCCAAACGCACCGAAACCCAGCGTCTTGCTTCCCGTCCAACCTGCGAAAACACTGGCCGCCCGTGGAGCTGAAAATGGCGACTAGCTTGGCCAACAGAGCCTCTTCCTCAAATCAAACCCTAAATTTCTTGCGCTACTCTTTCAATTTGCTAAGAAACTTCAGCACTTCATCGAATTCGGCTCCGTCTTCGGCTCAAACCCCATCTGCCACTTCCACCCCTTCCAAGAAATCGAAGCGACGTAAGAAGAAAAACCTATTCGAGGTCGCTCAATTTTTGCCCAATTGGGGTCTCGGTTACCACTTGGCCAAATCTCATTGGACCAGTGTCTCTTATGAGATCACCAAGATCAACCTATACAAGGTTTCTTTTCTGTTTGTTCCCCTCTTTTAATTCATTTTGATATCTATTTCTGTGCTTTAGATGATAGATTTGTCGAAAGTGGAGAGGGCAGTGAGGAAATCCTGTATTGTTAGCGATTAAGGTTATGTGGTTCTCGTTGATATGGGTTTAGGGTTTTGATGTTGGTTGGTCCTTTGCAGGACGGTAGACATGGCAAGGCATGGGGGATTGCCTACAAAGACGGTTAGTGTTGACTGAACTTTCAGCCTTTTCATTACTCTATGTGGATGCCATTTTTGGTTGAGTATTGGTGGGTTGGTTCCCTGATTTCTTTTGAGGGGGGGTTAGTGTTATAATTCCCCGAGGGGTGCAATGGTGGTCAGAACTAATAAAACAAGTGTTGAAACAAATCATAGTCTGTTTTAAGTTGATGCTGTTAAACAGGGTTGGTAATTAACATGGATAGTGATTAGTATTTATAGGCTATTTCGCCCTTTTAGTCTGTTCAGTTTTGAAGTTGTGAGGTCAAAGTGTGGATGCTATTGCTAGTTATACTGATATAGCTGTCCTTAGAACATACTACATTAGAGCTCAGAACATTGATTAGGCCTCAAAATGGTTGTCATCAGTTCACTCATTCCTACGCTTGAATGGTATGAGCAGGCTCCAATACATGTGAACCAAACGTACTGCTGAAGTCAAAATAAGCCAAATCATGTAGAGTTTGCATACTCAGTTTCTGATGATAGCTTCCTTGATATTAATTATTAGAAGTGGAGCTGAAAGGAAATGAGCTATAGGTTTATCTATGACCTCCAGCCGAATCTGTGACCTCCAGGTTCAAGAGCAGTGGTATTACCAATGCACCAAACCCTTGTTCGCAAGAACCAATTGGTTTATCTAGTGATATTCTTGTGCATTGGGCAATGCAGCAACATTGTTAGCCATGTTAAAGACCACCTGTTGCACAATTATACTGTGAGCTGCTACTTTTAGATAACCTTTTTATCAGATGTTTATCTCACGGGTAAATTAATAATACAGGATTACCAGTCGCAGCTGCCAAGAAGATTAGCGGAGTTCATAAACGTTGCTGGAAATATCTACCAGGCTTAAAAAATTTGAATCAAACCTTGGTAGACTCCCCAAGTCTGACAACGACGGAAGCTGCTGCGCAGGGTGAAGTTCAATCTGCCTGATGCCATTTTCTATCTTCCTGGAAGTAGTAAGCACGAGGGGCATTTGATCCTATGTCATTCTTGAATTGGCACTCTGTTATTAGGAGGTCCAAGGGTTTCACCTGTTTCTGTTTCTATCTTTTGCTCAGAGGACTGGATTTTCGCAGTTAGTATGGAGTTAGGATATAAGTTTCATTTTGGGTTGGATGTACCGCTTCCTTTTCTCTGCCGCACCCATGTTTGTTGAACTCAGAGCTGGTGAAATGAATGTGGTACGTGGCCGGCCGGGGGAGTTGAGCAGAAAGTTCCCATATATGATATTACCCGTGGCTTGTCAAATTATACTGGAAAGATTTACCAGTCTGATTGGCGGTGAACATCATGATTTGACAGCATATGCTACTCTGTGTCTCGTCTGTTCATGTCGCTTATTATGGTCCTGGAATTCTGTTTTGGCTGTCATTCGACGATGTTAACTATGTTACTACGTACCTCCTCCAACAACTTGATGTGTCTTCCTTTCCTTCTGCTGTCTTTGCCGCCGTTCCCATATCATCGCGGTTAACTATTTTGTTAAGATATTAACTTTTCACACTGTGTTGGATGGAGCTTTGGTTTACATTGGTCCTAAACATACAGCTAGCTCATCTGGACTGGAATGCCCTAAGCGGCTGAGCTATAAAAATTGTTGTTTACGAGATGTTGTATGCAAGCAACTGCCGTTGATAACAACAATCAGTAATCTGTCATTTACGAAATGAAGAGAAAGATTAAAAGAAGTCTGCTTAGTAATACCCGAAGAATGAATACCGTATCAGACAGTTTGATGCCATGGGTGCGAATCTAGAGCGGCAAGGTTCCTCTCCTGCAAGCAGAACGTAACGTTTACTCCGGAGCTAATTAAGTGAACCATCACCCGCAAACTCTCCTGAAAACAACCCCTAAGAGTCTCAGCAAACACAGAAAACAAATCTGTCCATCGTGGCAGCCCTGTTTGTCCCTTATACGTCTTCACAAATATAACGCATGTATGCTAGCCAGCTGATGCCTGATGATGATATTCACGAGAGAGCTAGAGATGTCATATGGCAAGTGATGCGAACAATACGGCCTTAAAAGATCCGCCACCCTAATCGATCCAGAACAGAAACGAAAAGAGCAAAACGAGAAAAAGAAAATGAAAGCCTGTATCCGGCCAAAAACCCAACTGCCATCTCATTCCTTTCCCTTTCTCATCTATCTATGTTCATATATGAATTTTTCCTCTACATTTTCTATAGCTGGGAATGGAGTCCGCCGTTACTTACATACATAGTTTGACCGGTAACTAAATTGTTTCCTCTCCCAGCCCAGCCCAGCTATATATATACATCCATATCTCTCTACATTCCATCATCCTACCTTCCTTCCTTCCTTCCTTCTAATACATACATTCTTCAGTCATCAGTCCTTCACCATTACCAATACACACTACAGTAACCAGAAACAACTAAACATGGTGATCGCTTTTTTCGCTCTGTCTTCCCTTCTGATCCTTAACGGAGCCCTCGGCGATATGATGTGCGAGGAGCTGCCAGTAGAGCTGTGCGCCTACTCGATCTCCGACGCAGGGAAGAGATGCGTGCTGGAGAACTACTTGGCCAGGAAGAGGATGGTGAAGTACCAATGCAAGACATCGGAAGTGGTTGTTGAGACGATGAGCGGATGGATCGAGACGGAAGCATGCATCAACGACTGCGGGCTTGACAGAAACGTCGTAGGGATCTCTTCTGATTACCTCCTCTCCCCAAACTTCGTTGCCAAGCTCTGCTCCCAGCCCTGCTTCAGCTACTGCCCCAACATCCTCGATCTCTACTCCAACTTGGCTCAAGCTGAAGGTAAAATATTTTGTACATAATTACTCAACTATACAACTTCCTACTATGTTCTAAATTAACCAGACGCTGAAAATATCACAATGGTGCGCGCAGGAATGAACTTGCATGATATCTGCAACACGGGGAATGGTGCTCCTCGTCGCGTATTGTACAATCAGCCCAAGAGTTCAAGTGCTGCAATCGACGGTGGTGCTATGGGAACTGCTGAAGAAGGAAATGGTGCCATTGGAGCCCCAGTTGGTTCTCCTCTGTTTTCCCCTGCTTTTACTTTTGCGGATGATGGTACTACTGTTGCTGCAATTGCTCCTTCTCCTGATACCTTCTGATCTGAGGGGGCCGAGGAAAAAACAAGTTCAATGGGGATGGCTGTGTTGTGTTAACGGATTCTGCTTCAATACGATTTCACATGTATAGATGCACCCTTTTGGAACAAATTGAGTTTTAGATATACTTGGATTGTTATCTCATTTGAATTACACATTTGATACTTGTCTTATCTAATAAAGTTTAGTTATAAATTCATTGTGCTCGAGTTTCAATTTTCAATTATGATGTGGTTCTTCAAAAAATCCTCAATGTATCGGAATGACGAAAAGAAAAAATTCTAAACTGATTTATATGAGACGGAAGATACAAGTATCGGTAATGTACCTCTACTATAGATAACTCTTACTAATTTGGTACCCTTGCTTGCACAAACATTTGATTTAAACATGACTAGTTTTTTTGCCGTGATTCGATGCAATAAGAAACTAATTATACTTTTTAATCGTCATGAAATACATAAACCATATGTTTGTTTATGTGGTATAAAAAAAATCCTCCATAAGATTTACAATGTATGTTATGTAACAGAATAACTTACCTTGCTTAACATTTATGTATTGCAAATTGATAAGATGATAAATTTTTTAGTTAATAAAAAATTTTAGTTAGAGAATAATTGCAATATGTTTTTCTAAGTGATATGTAAGGAATAATTACCTCTTCAGAAATTTTATATAATATATTTGTAATTACGTAACTGTCATAGTCTAGTGTTATACATATCTTTCATATTTTTTTTATCTAATAATAAGATTAATTTAACAAAATATTGTAATTGACTAAACAATTATTATGTATAAAACCACGGACCATACAAACCTAAGTGTAACACAAATAATAAAGAGTTTATGTTCAATTTGGGAGCTTTATAAAATATATTTGTGATTGCATAAATTTTATAGTACATAAATATTTTGTAATATGTGGTTTGATAATAAAGTCAAGTTAAGAGTATCAAATTTGATCAAATTGTTATGTAAAAACAACTTTCCTTACAAAACCTTATTGTAATGCAAATTATATTATATAAATAATGGTGAATTTGGGAGCTTGATTAACATATGTGTAATAATTACATAATAGTTGCTTTCTACTACGTAATAGTTGTAGAATAGTATACTAAACGAACCTTTCGTACTATGTGATCGAATGATAAAGAGTTTATGATGAAACTGGGAGCTTTTTATTATATATTTGATCTAATGATATAGAGTTTATGATGAAACTGAGATATTTTTATACTATATTTGTAATTACATAACTATTATAGAATAGTGTATCACAAATCTTTCGTACTTTTAATTTCATAACTGTTATAGAATAGTTTTACACAAAATTTTCATACTGTTTGGTCACTATGTGGTCTAATGATAAAGATTTTTATGGTCTAATGATGAAATCACATTAAGAAAATAGAACATTTGATTACGTAACACTACAAGAAAACTAGGCTTCGGAGAGAGAGGTTATTTGCATCTAAATGTCCTTTATTTGCTTCTATGGAATGGGTTAGGGTGATTACTTGTTTTTTTAGTAATCACGGTGGCAACCTCTTTATATACCATTTGATTAATTATTTTCCCTTCTTTTTTAATCTTACGGTCAAGATTCTTTTAGGGTAATTTTGGAAATTAAAAAGTGATCACACTTGATTATTCTATATAATCTACGTAAACCCTATTTCTATCATCCCTCCAGCCAAACCCGTCGCAGCCGCCTCCACATACCACTCCCGTCGCACCGCCGGCAGCAGCCCCGACCACCCCGGCCACCGCCGGCAGCAGCCCCCGACCACCCTCGGTACCCTCCCTCCCTCTCTCTCTCTCGCTGCTCTCTCTCTCTCTCTCTCAACGTCTTGTCTAGCCAATTAAGGAGTATACGAAACAACAATGGACATCAAGACTATATTTTCCTTTCTCTTGGCTCTTGTAATTTGTGTTTCAGTATCCCTTCTGTCTTTGGATGTAGCTCTATACGAGAACAATCAACATATGATCACCATCACTGGCGCCACTCGAAAGCTGCTTATTGCGTCAGGTAAGTTCCCTTCAAGATTCTCTCTCTCTCTCTCTCTCTCTCTCTCTCTCTCCCGCTGCTCTATTTCTTATGTGCAGTGGTATAGATTTAAAAACCTAGATCTAGTAATTTTTGTTTATTGATTCAATGTGCACTGGTATAGATTGTTTATATTGGTAGTTTTCGTGTAATGGTATAGATTTATTTCTGCAATGGTATTGATTGATTATGGTATAGATTGTTGGTAGTTTTCGTGTAATTGTATAGATTTATTTCTACAATGGTATTGATTGTTTATGGTATAGATTGTTTATATTGGTAGTTTTCGTGTAATGGTATAGATTTATTTATGCAATGGTACTTTTCGTGTGATGGTATATATTTATTTCTGCAATTGTATTTATGTTTTTCAAAGTGGTAGTGTTTGTCTAATGGATTGGTACTGATTTCGTTTTTTTTTTTTTTTGCAGAAAGATTGAGAAAAATATGAAAAGGAAATCTGGCTGGAGATTACGGAAGTGAGAGAAAGAGAGAATTTTAATTGATAGATTTTTGTAACTACCTAAAATGTAATTTATTAAAAAATTAATTAATATAATTTATTTTTTCATACCCAATTTACCCTTAGTAACCACGGTGATTACTACTTTTGTACTAATCACCGTAACCTGTCCCTTGCTTCTATATGTCTTTCGATGCAAATATATTATTTGAATCATATGCCTCTGTCTCGGATTCCTTTTGGAGACAAATACAAATACAAATACAAATAGTATTTGCCTCTATTAATGGAATTCGAGACAAATACAATAACATATAGAGACAAATAATATGATGAAATAGAGACAAATACAATAATATATAGAGACAAATAATATTTTTGCTTCAAAGAGTTAGTTATGGAGACTAAAACAATAATTGCCTCTGATTATTTGTCTCTGTAGATCGGGTTTCTTGTAGTGTAACTTGTAAAGAATAGCGTTACACATATCTTTCGTACTGTTTAGTCTCGCAATAAAAAGTATGAAATGAAATCAGGTTAAGAAAATATAATTATTTCATTAAGTAAAAAAACTAACTTTGGAAAACCTCAATATAATACAAATATTAAAGAGAGCTTATGGTTAAATTGGTGTATGTGATAATTACCTCTTGCGAATAGTACTTGCGGCATAAAAAAGTAATTATTCTCTAAAATTTCGTGATGAATAGTGGAGAGCACTTGCACCATTAATTCTATAATAATAATAATTGTTGGCCGACTTATGGGATTGAAGAATTTCC